GGAATGGAATGGAATGGAATGGAATGGAATGGAATAGAATAGAATAGAATAGAATTTCTTGTGTGTCCAAGTGTGATTGGACACACAAGGAATTTGTCTTTGGTGCAGATGCTCTCAGTGTACATAAAGAAAAATAAAATAGAATACATTCATCAAGAATCATAAAATACAACAGTGAAAGTCATAGGTTACTAATAAGCAAGCTAATTATACTAGGAAACAAATAAAACAATACAAATTTTAAAGATACAAGCAACATGGTTATAGTCATAAGTGGGGAGAGATAGATACTAGCAAGGAAGAGAAAAATAATAGTAATATAGTCTTAGTAAATAGTTTGACAGTGTCATAGGGATTAGTTGTTTAGCATAGTGATGGCATTCTGGAAAAAGCTATCCTTGTGTCTAATTGTTCTGGTGTGCAGTGTCCTATAGTGTCATTTTGAGGGTAGAAGTTGAAACAATTTATGTCCAGGATGTGAGTGTTCTGAAGTTATTTTCACAGCCCTCTTTTTGACTCATGCAGTGTACAGGTCCTCAATGGAAGACAGGATGGTTATGATGAATGAATGGTTAATGAATGGTTAAAAGTCAAGGACTACCTGTAACCATTTTCTGCATTTCAACCAATTAACTGATTAGACCAATGGTACCACATCTGCATCTCTGCCTCAAGTGTAAAAGGGGTCAAGGCTTCATAAACTGCCACTATGGCATCTCACTGTGCCACCCAGCCCAGTGAGATCCAGAGGGGTTGGAGACTGGGCCATAATCAGCGTCTGCCCTCAAAGGAACTCTTGTCATAATAACAAGAGGCATGTCGAGATGTCATGACCCAAGTCTTGCCTGCTATGTCGCAAGGCAAGCACAAAAGGAGCGGGGAATTTACAACACAACTCACACTTTGTCATTCCCTCCCCTTCTATAAGTGTCCGTATGGCCAGAGCAACTGGGAGCTGCAGTGACCCAACCCACTCAGTCACAAAAAAGCTAACCAAGGTTTATACTAACCTAACTCAGCCAATACAGTTGCTGCGGCTTTAATCAACTTGGTTAAATGTAGAAGACACTAACATTGGTTAGACTGGATGAATATCTTTTTTAAAAAAATGTTTTTTTTTAAAAAAAACTGGTTTTTGGGAGGTTGTGTTTGAATTATGTTTGCTGGTTAGCTTTTGTTTTAATTGTATGTGCTTCCCAAAATCCCAGGCATGAGATCAGCAGTTATATAAATTATTATGTACTAGCTGGATAACCATGCTTCACGACAAAACTATGTGATCGGGCAATGCAGGAGAAATCCAGTTCACTCCAGTTCAATCCATTGGCTCACTGATGGTCAGTAATTGAAGCACATAAGGGAATATCGCTCCTGCCACCTTGAATCCAGAAGCAGTTCCATAGGTGGAAGACGTAGACATTTTGGTGAGGTACCAACATTTAGTACTGTAAGGAGCCCCAGACCACTCCTGTGAAGTGAAGGAGTGGAACGTCTGCCAGTTTGAACTGAGGTAACGGAATGTGAGGCAATTGGCAGTTGGAACAGAGTTCTTTTCAGATGTGGAGGGGGAGTAGTACTCCTTAGCATCAGAGTGTGTTAATTATTGTATAAAAATACTAATGATCTGATAGTCATTTCAAAAAATCCTTTCTTAGCAAGCACCCAGAAGCCAAGAGGAACATATGTGCCAAATTTCAAGTTTGTAGGCTTTACGGTTCTGGAGATTTCGTGATGAGTGAGTGATATTTGGCTTTTATATAGAGAGATTTATTTATTATTAGAGTTCTATGCAACGCCAGATGGCTAGATAAATAAATTTAATTAGATTAAATTAGAGAACCAGATAAAACATTAAAAATATATGATGCTACCGGTACCTAATTCCGTGTCAGTTTTTTTGCTATAGACTACCATGGCTTTCTGATCGCCATCTTGGATCAAATGTGCTGCATAAACATAGCCCATCATTCTAAACAGCAGAGCAAGTTGTCAAGAGTTGATGGGGTGCATCTCTTCAAATTATGCTCCGTGGGGGAAGGGGCAAGATAAATAGGGCCACCACCACAGAGCCCTCAGGATGTAGAGTTGGGGAGAACAGGAAGGGAAGATTGCATTGCTATTGTTAGGATTGGAAAAGGAAAATTTGCTTTTAACTTTCCACTGACTTTCAGTGCTATTATTGCTGTTGCACAATTAAAACAAAAGACAATACTGTAATGCCATTCAAGTTTTTTATGCTATTATTCTTACAATATTTATAATGTACTTCATTATTTTTGTTTTACTATTTTATTATACTATTTGTATATTATTTTATTAATCATTTGGTTTTTTTACTTAATATATTTAAATTTTACTTTGTTTTATGATGGCATTATTATATGTGCATGTTATTATTTATTAATATTTTATTTCACTATGTTGCATTATTTTGTTTTTATTTGGCTACATGTATTCTACAAAGGAAAAATGCGTAGGTCAATGCTGTCTTTGTCACAAGCATACTAGCTATGGATTTATTTATAGGTAGCCCTCGAGTTTTGTCCTATGGTTGTAATTCGTGACAGTTATAAAGCAGGTCAATCATGTGACTGACCCAATTTTACCATATACATTTTTTGTGGCGGTTGTTAAATGAATCACTGTGATTGTTAAGCAAACCAAAGGTGAAGGTGGAACTTCAAATATGGGTTATAAGGATCTTCCGGGTAGGTCTGCTGGAACCTCAAATAGTCACTAACAACTGGTTGTAAGTTGAGGAATACATCATATGTGTGATTCAGGGGTGGGTTCTGGATGGCTTTACTGCCAATTCACTCGGGTGCGCGATTTGTGTGTGTGTGTGTGTTGGATGTGCACTCTGTGCGCATGCACAATTCAATTAAAATTGTTCTGCCCATGTGCAGAACTTAAAAACAAGATGGCGGCGCTGATGGCACCGGCCGGGCAACCGGTTCGGGGGTGTGGCAGACCTGAGTTGCTGCCTGTTCCAGCAACTCAGGCCACCATACCACTACCGGTTCTGCTGAACCCCTCCGGTGTGATTGTGTAGCTATATGTATATAGCATGTGTGTCTGTATATAGCATGTGTATTTGTGTCTGGGTGTTGTATTTCTACCTCACATTTCCTTCAACTGATCCTGGTGGTATACAGTATAGACCAGTGGTTCTCAACCTGTGGTTTGCAGACTCCTGGGTGGCCACAATGTCACTGCAGAGGGTCCCTGAAGATTTGAAAGAAAATTGTTATGATCTAAATCTTGAGTTAGGTCTTGGAGGTCCATGGCCAGAAAAGATATTTTAAAAAGCTCCATGGTGAAGAAAAGGTTGTGAACCACTGGCGTGGAGTATTCCCACTTCCATCTTATCCCTACAACAGCCTTGTGAGGTAGGTTGGACTAAGTGAAATGATGTCTCCAAGGGGGCTTTCCTGTGTGGTTGGACTTGAGCCAATCTCCCCAGACCTCTGGCCACCCTCTTCTATCGGCTGCCTTTCTTACAAGATTGATAGGCATCAGCCCGTATAATCATGAAAACTAGCACCTTGTAGGATTTGTGCCCTGACCTGATAGCCGATTCTGCTCAGACAAGAGGCCCAGACCTCACACCGATAGGTAGACAGTGAGGCCAGCAACTAGGTTAACACATTATAGGACGGATGGCTTAACCCGAAGCACAGCAGCGGGAGGGAAGATGAATTAACTCTGTCTACTTAAACCTCAGTTCGGGAGCTGGGTGTGATCGATTGCCCATCCATTCCGATTACTTCCACAGCAGTGCCTGAAGCTGGATCA